ACATGCCTGTTGTCCCAGCTGCTCGGGAGACTTAGGCAGAAGGATCACCTGAGTCCAGGAGGTAGAGGCTGTGGTGAGCCATGACTGTGCCATTGCACTACAGCCTGGGCAGCAGAGTGAGACCCATATATGTATATATATGGAAACACATTCTAGTAATTTGTATTCTTTCAAGAAGACTGTGCCAAAGCATTTTCCCCATCAATTTGGGAGAAAAGTTTTTCTATCTATTCATACTTGTATAATGTTGAATAACAAAATAGTGCTGAATTCTAACGCACTTACCTATTCTTTTTCTTCCAGTGTTTTTTGCATTTGACAAAGACAATGATACCTACATAAATGTAAAAGAATGGGTTAAAGGATTGTCAGTGTTTCTCCGAGGAACTTTTGAAGAAAAGCTAAAGTGTAAGATTTCTATGTATGATTACTGGATTAATAATATATATTACATATTTTGTAATAGTGAATGCTTACATATCTGAAAATATAAAATCAGTATCCTCTCTAGCAATCTTGCAAAAACAGTTCATGACAGATGAAAGATCAAAATAGACAAAATGCGTGGCACAATTCTAAGATCCAAGAAGAGAATACTGCTAGAGCTGTAGATATATATGTATGTATTATGTGAGCAAAGTTTTAAGAATTGAATCTCCTTTATTGCAGCTTCATAACATTTTTACACCCTCCATGTCAAAATACAGAAATTATAAGCCTGTCTTTCCACATTCCAAGGGTTATTTAATCTGGTAAAAAGAAGTGTAATAAAGACTGCTTTATTCTAAAATCTTTCAACTATACAGTAGATTCGATTTCTAAATTTTTGATGTTATTTTTATTCTTTAGTATTGTATGTTGCAATAACCAAAGAGAAGATTAATGAAATGTTTATTGTTCTTATCTAAAAAGTCTGTTTTGAAGTTTATTATTTGAATGGAGATAGTTGTATTTCTCAAGAGGACATATTTGACTTATTGAAGAACAGTTTGCACCAACAGTCATCTGAAGAAGAGACTGAAGACGAGATAAAAGAGTTGGTAGACATAACCATGAAGAAAATGGTAAGGCCAGAAACTGCAGAGTGCTTTGCTCACTCGAGCGGATGTCCTGGAAGGCTGAGTGGTTAGTCTCCCCCATAATGAATGTGGCCTCCACAAGGAAGGTGCTTTTGCTTCTTTTGTTCCTCACCTAGACCAGTACCTGACAGTGCTTAATACATGCTTATGGAATAGCTGGGTGATGAAATGAATCACTATACAAAATGAGTATTAATTTTATTATTTTAAAATATTTATTATCAGTAAAATCTCATTCATCTGAGTGAGACCAGATTCAATTCAGATTAAATTGGATGCTGTTCCATTTTTTTCTTCGAGACCTCAGTCCTCCAATCCATCTAAACACCCATGATAACAAAATAATAATAAAAATAGTTGGCCCTGACAGAGTACTTACCATTTGCCAGACCCTTCAGAGAGCTTTGATGTGTAAATTCATTTTGCCCTCAAAACAACCCTATGAAGCACAAACTTATCTCCAGTTTGCAGATGAAAAAACTGAAGTACATAAGTGTTTACTGAGGTCATCCTAGAAAATGAGGTGCAGAATTCATCTTTCAATGAAATCTATATAGTACCTCTTCATTATGGACATAGTGATTTCTATCCTTTTGTCACTGCAATCCTCAACTGGATACCAGTGAGGTTTGTGGACCAGCCACAGCCTGGGCCCAGCTCACCTGCGTTACCGTGGAGTTCAGGGAAAAAACCGATGATGGGTTTTGGAGTCTCAGATTCAGCCAATGCAGACTCCAGAGTATCCTCTTCTTTTTGGAAATACTCTGACCAGCCACTGCCAGGGCTAAGGCAGATTTCCTCTTGAGAGACTGTTTCCCAGCACCACTCACTTCCTTCTTTTTTGAAAGAAAATGTTTATGGAGTAAACTTTTTCGGATGATTATTCAAACTTGTCTCTAGATTAGGCTCCCAGCTACCCTAGCGGAGCTATGCCCAGAAGTGAAAAAGCAAGGGGCTGTGAATCTGGCCCAGTTAGGCAGTGAAAGGCCCGAATGATTGGTACACATGCTGCCCACCCCCACCTCACATGATCCACTCACTCACAGTCCCTAATCATGGACGCGGCATTCCAGGCAGGCCCATCCTTACTGTCATATCTCGGGCGGGTCATTCTTCTGCTCTTCCTCCACACACCTCTCTCCCCACCCAGGTCCAGCCATCATGGCCTCTCATGACTCTCAGGTCCTGACCTGTAGTGTAGTTAAGTCCCAAGCCTGCTCCCAAGCACAGCCACATCACTTGTCCTTTTTACAAGGCTCCCAAGTACAAATCCTTTGAGGAACACATTCTACAATATGTTAAGGTTGAAAATCATTGCCCTACTGTACTTATTTCATCAAAAAAGTAGTAATACAATAATGGAGTTCTTCTACTTTTATGTCTGTCTTCTCCAAGTAAAGTGATTTAGGGACAGGACTATATTTTATATATCTAAGAGAATTCTAGTATGCCTATTAGAATAATAGGAACAAAGTAGGTGGTCCCCATAAATACCTTCTGATTGATGTAAACAGTGTCTACAGAAGTGTGAATGTAATAGTTGGTAAACCCTTTTAGTCTACACAGTCATTTTCCATGCAAAACTGAAAAGTACCATTTATCAAGAACTCTCTCTCTCTCTAGGATTATGACAACGATGGCAAGATATCTTTTGCAGACTTTGAAAAAGCAGTGAGAGAAGACAGACTTCTGTTGGAGGTGTTTGGACCATGTTTACCAGAAGCAAAGGTATGGTTACAAGTGCCAACAACCAGAAAAAGCTTCAAAGGGCCAGAAAGTAGTGCTTGCTACTCACCTCTGTGGGGACTGCTATCGTCACAAATAGCTCAGTCGTGTCCTGGCACCTAGGGCCCCAAGAAGACACTCATGATTACTTCAGTAACTGTATTCCACAGACTTTTATTGAGCTTGTCACCTCACTAGCCATACACAATTCCTATTTCCTGTAGGTATGGTGACAGCATTTCTCATGTCAAAACCAGGTATGCTGGCTTGATCAGGGGACTGAACATTGAGTAACACTTGATCTTTCAATCCAACTGTTGTCAAACAATAACAAAGTGTTTTTAACATTGTGGACACATGTAAGGTACCTAGTATATTTTTTTGTGCTTATGAGGATTTTCACTGTATGAATCTGACTGAAGTTTTCTGAGCTGAAAGGGTCAAATATGGATTTAGCTCGTAAAATTTCTTTCCTTACACTTGCTTTGAATATCTGCTTTTCAGACACACACAGTACAAGAAGAAGCTTTTTTTTTTTTTTTTTAGCACCAACCAACATGGTGATTTTGTACATTAATGTGCACATTGTTAAGCTATCCTCAGGCATCGCAGCTCCTCTCTAGTGTGTTCCACTGCAGTTTCTTCCCCAGACCCCACATTTTATCTGTGAAAGGCAGATTTCCAATCTGGGAAGACCGATGGTGCAAACCGTCCAGTGTGATGTGTTGGAGTAGCCACTCAGGGTGCAACAGCTCTTCAGCCGTGCAATATGGCAGCCCATGTGCCAGCAGCACTGGCATCCACTGGGAACCTGTGCAAAATGCAGACTCCCAGGTCCCACCCAGAACCAACGCAATCACATTCTGGTTTTTCTTCTGCTTGATGCAACAAAGGTTTCTTTCTCTCCTCATAGTCAAATTTGGAGTTTGCTGGTGGGGATAGGGAGGTGTGTAGGCTCCCCTATGGCCACAGAGCAGAGCAGGAACACATTCATGAGCACAGAGCCATAATGCAGTTCCTCCCCTTAGGCCAGAGAACTTCTTGAGAATTGTGGTAAAATTCACGTACATATACAATTTACTGTCTCAACCATGTTGAAGTGTAGCTCACTAAAGCACACTCACACCATCACACAGTCAATATCCAGAACTCATCTTGCAAAACTGAAACTCTGAACCCCATTTCCCCTCCCTGAAGCCCTGGGTCACCACTATCAGAGTCTGCACTTTAACACGATCCTGAGGTGGAGATTCATAGCAACTGACAGTCAAAAGCTTGATCTGGACAGCAAATTGCTCTTCCCAATTCTATGCTTAGGTCTCTAATCTATCTTTTACAAGGGACTGCAGCAAAAAATATAACATCTGACAAAGAAGTAGGGCCTAACTCCTTGCCCACAGCTTCTTTTAGTACACCCAGTGCTAGAGCCATCCTAGCAAATTCAGATCAGTACATCATAACTGAAACCAAACCTCATTAACTTACTGAACTAAACCAAATTCAATCCACCGGGAAAGAGGCTATTAAGGGGAGGGAGAAATGAAAAACATGCCATGTGGTATGGGCCTTCTCCAGTTATTTTTAACCAGTGAAGAGCATGGAAACAGCCTGGACATGCTTGTATTTTCAACTACTGGTCCACTGACAGAAAAAACAGGGCATGCCAACAGCAGTGGTAGT